GCTGCCGCCACCCCCCCCCCCGTCCCCCCTACCTTGTACAGATTGTAACCATCCTCCCCCCACCCCCACCCCCACCCCCACAACCAAAAGCCCCAGCACGTGTGTCCAATGGGCTGTGTCCACACTCTGAGAAGGTGAGAGAAAGGAAGAACGGCCCCCTTACGTTTCTGTGGGGGGAAGTGTTTGGGGTCTTTATTCTATGATACTACTTTTTATCAGGTTGTTAGTTCTTTCCATGTTGTTCCTTGGGGGTGTTCTTTACTGTGACTTAACCTTTATTTACATACAATGAGATGCCGCTGCCATTTTTGAAGACTGTGCTTCCCTAGGAGGTGTGGCGCAAGCATTTATGAATCTGTTGGAAAGCTGCTTCCAATGGAGTTCCCTTGGTCCATGTGATTCTGGCGGAAGTCTGTCTCCTCTCCAGGAAAAATGCATTGGGAGAGACGGAAAAGAGCACGGACTTTGGGGTGTAACGTTTGTAAAGGGGACACGTTTGATTAGCCTGTGGGTTTTTCCAGCATATGTGCCCCACGCCTCCAGTTTCTGGGCTTCTGTGAGGCAGAATCAGGAGGATGGGCACATAAGCAGAAAGGGGCAGGGCAGGGGGACAGGAGAGATTTTCGAAAGACCAGGGCCTTCGGTGCCAGGAGAGTTGAGGGAGCCAGATTGGAGGCTGCTCATCCCCAGGCAGGAAGGGATGGGAGGGAGCAGCATGGTGACTGTAGCATGGGAGGGAGTAGCATGGTAACATGGGATTGGCAGCTAGAAGATAATGGAGCCAGGCTTTCTGAGGGCAAAGGATTTCCCATTCTAGAATTCCATACCCAGCCAAACTGTCAGTGTCAAAGCTTGAGCAAAGACCTTAGCAGGCACTTTCGCATCTATTCTCAGGAAGCCCCCAGGACGTATACTTTCCAAAAATAAAGAGGTAAATCAATGAAGGGGATAGAAGACCTGGGACCCAAGCAACAAAGAATTCAACACAAAAGAGAAGTGATAAAGAATTTAAGTCTCCAGAAACTGGAGCACAAACATGCACACAGATGTTCAAGGCCTGTGAGCATGTGCTTTAGGGATGAGGAGGCAAATGCTAAAAGTAACAGGTAAAAGTTGACACTGGTGGTCTATGGGAGCAAGAATCTGCAGCAGGTGGGACACAGAAGTCCCAGCTTTTGTGATAAGCCTCATTAAATTGCTTGTCAAATTTTCTCTATTTTGAAATAAATACAAATTAAACATTTTCAAGTACATCAGAACCATTAAGTGCTACCGTGGGACATGGCGTGGATCCCGTTTCAATTTCATAGATGCAAAGCCAGGCTAGGAATGACTAGCTAATTACTCCCATTTGTAATGACTGCTTTTGCTCATTTGTTTTTGTTTCTGTTTGACCTTTTTTTTTTTTTTCTTCCAAGCAATACTGCAGCCTGATAAACGGGTTCATATATGAGGTTTAGGATTATTTTCGGGTTGCACTTTCTGGGTTTCAATCCTGCCTGCTCCACAGGACTGGCTATGTGACCTCTGGCAAGATGTGTAACCTGTTGGAATTCCATTTCCCCTTCTTCGTGACATAGTTCCCGCAAAGGCAGAGTGAGATGCAGGTGTGAACATGCTCCTGCAGACCTCAAAAGTGCCAGTTACCTTTTCCCCTTAAGAGCCAATTCATTTCAAAAAGAATGAATACGTGGGGCAAACTTAAAGCTTCGATAATGGAAATGAATTATTCAAACACCACCATCTTGAGAAATCACATCTCTACGCCTTCCTAGGGAAGCAGATCTTCCTGAACAGGCTCGGGGGTGGGAAGCAGAACGTTAGCTGGGACTTGTCCATAAACACTCCCAGCGGCACCCCTCACTCCTCCAGAACCAGGCGGGTCTGTGGACTCGGCAAGCCCAGGCAGCCCGGCCGCCAAGCCCTGGAGCAGGGTGGCGCGGATGCCTGAGCCTCCAAACTGTTCCTGGGTCTTGGCAAACAAGCGGCAGTCATGATCAAGTAGTGATCCGTGTGGAAACCAACGTATGGAACTCATTACCCGCCTTCCTGCCAAACTGGGCACACCCAGGCCGGTTCCCTCTGCTACTCCTCTTCTGGAAGATCTCTTCCCACCCTAGTTGTTGCACGGCCGAGTCCTAGCAACCCATGAAAGCCCAGCTCAGATGCCACTTCCTCCCCACGGGCCTCCGTGAGCTCCGCCTTCCTTTGAGTCCCCCAGGATTGCACCCCTCATTTAAAATTTCATAGATCTTAGTTTTCTTCTCTCCTTCCAGGAAAGATGTAAGGAGGCTCTGCATAGCATCTTTCTAAACTAGACATTCCTAAACGGGGTCTTGGTGAGAAAATTCTCTGTATTTTCACCATTCTCTAAACTGAAATTTAGCATTTCTATTACAAATGGAGACGACACACCATAGTGGAATTAACAGTATCTGTGACTTGCCGCCAATAGAAACAGCAGATATTTTCGTAGCACATTATGTGGTGGCAGAGAACCTGAAAAATCACTTCTGTTCATCACTGTTTGAAATATATATATTAATTGTTAGGCCTCCATCGGATGTTGTCATTTATTGTGTTAAAGGAACACATATACAACTTTAACACAAATTTGGGGTTTGGGGTTTTTTTTTAGTTTATTTTTTTATTTTGAGAGAGAGACAGCATGAGCAGGGGTGGGGCAGAGAGAGAGAGAGAGAGAGAGAGAGAGAGAGAGAATCCCAAGCAGGCTCCACACTGTCAGCACTGAGTTCAACGCGGGGCTCAAACTCACAAAACTGTGAGATCATGACTTGAGGCAGAATCAAGAGTCGTTCGCTTAGCCAACTGAGCCACCCAGGCGCCCTACAAATTAACTTTCTTATTGTACGTATACTTCAGTGTAATTGATTTCCATGAACTCCTATGCATTTTTAAAAGCATCACTTTGGAGGGGCGCCTGGGTGGTTCAGTCAGTTAAGCGTCTGACACCTGCTCAGGTCATGATCTCACAGTTCGTGGGTTCGAGCCCCGCATCGGGCTCTGTGCTGAGAGCTCAGAGCCTGGAGCCTGCTTCAGATCCTGTGTCTTCCTCTCTCTCTGCTCCTCCCCCACTCACGCTGTGTCTCTCTCTCACAAAAATGAATAAACATTTAAAAAAAATTTTTTTAAGCATTAGTTTGGAAAGGGCTGCACCAGGCTTCGAGAGGGGCCCTGGCATGATGAGAAAGGTTAAGCCCCACTTCCGAATGGAATGCCACCCCTTTATTCCTTCCACTTTGGACTCTTGCCAACAGGGAGCCTGGTGGGGGAGTAGGAAGAATTGTCTCAATTATTATATATATATATATATATTTTTTTTTTTTTTTTTTGAGAGAGAGAGAGAGGGCACAAGTCGAGGGAGAGAGGCAGAGAGAGAGAGAGAGAGAGAGAATCCCAAGCAGGCACCATACTGTCAGCACAGAGCCTGGCCCAGAGCTCGATCCCACAACTGTGAGATCATGACCTGAGCCGAAATCAAGAGTCAGATGCTTAACCAACTGAGCCACAGGCACCCCTCAATTATTTTTAATGAACTTTAAATTTTAGGATAGTTGTAAGTTTACTAAAAAGTTGCAAAGGTTGAACTCAGAGTTCCCAAATACCTCACTCCCGATTTCCCCTTTTATCGACATCTTACATGACTATGGTGCATTTGTCATAATTAAGAGCCAATATTGATACATTTTATTAACTATATTCCATAATTTATTCAAATCCCTTTAAGTTTTCCCTAATGTCCTTTTTGTCTCTCAGGAGTGCATCCAGAATACACATAATATTTACTCATCACATCTCCTTAGGCTCCTCACGGCTAGGACAGTTTCTCAGACTTCTACCTCTCCCCATTTTTTGTTTGTTTTTGCCCTTTTTTGATGATCTTGAAGGTTTCGAGGAGTATTGGTTAGGTATTCTGTAGACTGTCCCTCCACTGGGATTTGTGTGATGTTTTAATCACGATCAGACTGGGTTATGGGTTTTGGGGAGAAAGACCATATCATCAAGGGTACTTACTATCACTATGACTTATCACCATTGGTGGTGACCTTGATCACCTAACGAGGTCACGCTCGCCATGCTTCACTACTGTAAAGTGACTCTTTTGGTCCCTCCGAAAAAAAGTCACTATGCCCAGCCCACACTTGAGTGGGAAGCTACACTCCATGTTGGAGTATCTACAAAAATTTAGAATTCTGAATGGGAAATCTGTCTATGCTCCCCCATTTATTTACCCAGTCATTTATTTATATCAGTATGAACTCATGGATGTTTATTTTATACTTTGGGTTATAAGCCAGTGCTACTTTAATTTGTTGCCGTTTTATTTAAAACACCATGAAGTGCACGGCTGGATGAGTCTCAAATGTCCCGACACCCCTAATCCCAGGCACACCAAATTGCCCGCGGGGGGTCCCCTGGAGGGGAACTGAATTCCCGCAGACAAGCGACTTGGAGGGTCACCTCAACTTCCCCTTTCAGGTTTAGAAAAGCCCAAGTTCCCCACAAGGGGTAAATAGAGTCGTTAAGGGGCAAATACACGCACACATCAGCAGTTCATTTTCTCTGTAGTCAGCAGCTCAGAAATTTTGCTAACAAGTGCCTCGGACAAGGTCTGGAGCGGGAAGGGGCTGGCTGGTCCGGTGGGAACGCCAGACCCCTCTGGAGCCAGGGGGCCTGGCCCTGGGGGGAGTGGAGGGGTAAAGGAGGAGTGAACTCCTTCCCCGCTTCCTTCCAGGGTGCCCCCCTCGCATTCTCTGCCCGCCGCCGCCCTCCCTTCCGACCAGGAGGGGCGATCGCCCAGGAGCCCCGCGGGGTCACACGGGGCCCGAAGACCGCCCGCGCAGTCTAGGCCAGGTCCCTGTGTCCGGGGACCCGCGGGCGGGTCTGCGGCGTTGGGGGGCGGTCCGAGCCCGGGACGGGAGGGGGCTGGACCCTTGGCCTGGGTCCCAGGGGGCGGCGCCGCAGCGCGGACCGGCCGGGTCCCTCCCAGGCGGGAGCAGAACAGGCGGTGCCCGGGCGGCCGCGGAGCTATGGACGGCAGCGGGCCCTTCAGCTGCCCCATCTGCCTGGAGCCGCTCCGGGAGCCGGTGACGCTGCCCTGCGGCCACAACTTCTGCCTCGCCTGCCTGGGCGCGCTCTGGCCGCACCGCGGCGCGGGTGGCGCCGGCGGGCCCGGAGGCGCGGCCCGCTGCCCGCTGTGCCAGGAGCCCTTCCCCGACGGCCTGCAGCTCCGCAAGAACCACACGCTGTCCGAGCTGCTGCAGCTCCGCCAGGGCTCGGGCTCCGCGCCCGGGCCCGGCTCCG